TATGGCTTGGATCGGATCCTGTGTACATTCTTTAACTCAGATTTGCTTGACCTTGAGTTTGCCTTTCTGTGGTCCCAATGTGATTGATCACTACTTCTCTGACTTGCAGCCCCCCTTGAAACTTACCTGTTCAGATACCTATGTGATCAACCTGCTCCTGGTGTCCAATAGTGGGGCCATTTGTACAGTGAGTTTTGTCATGTTGATGGCTTCCTATGTTGTAATCCTGTATTCTCTGAGAAACTACAGCACTGAGTGGAGGAGAAAAGCCCTTTCCACTTGCTTCTCCCACAACATGGTGGTTTTTTGTTCTTCAGACCTTGCATATTTATATACACCCGCCCTGCAACCACCTTCCCCATAAGATGGTAAGATGATAATAGTGTTTTATTCGATTGGGACCCCTCTGCTGAGCCCTCTGATTTACACACTGAGGAATGCAGAGGTGAAGAATGCCATGAAGAAACTATGGAGCAAGAAATTCATCTCAGATGACCTGTGATAAATAGTGATCTTTAACTTTTCTTAGCAGTTTGGATTACTCTAAAGTGGCCCATAGATGATGTTATCTGATATTAAACATAGGAGAAATGTAGGAGAAAAAACACAATTTGAATACATACAATAGTTGTTTTTACTTCATTTTATGTAGTAGAGGAATCAGTCATTGATTAAAGACAAACAGCTATGGATGGGCAGGCCCATTACCTTCAATCTAGTTCATTGGTGGGTCTCTGACACTCTTATCTGTTTTGTGATTCTTTTTTTCAAATTTATTTTTATTTTATGTCTATGATTGCTTTGCCTGCATGTATGCAAGTGCACCCATGTTGTGCAATGCCCACAGAAGTCAGAAGATTGTGTTGGATCCTCTGGAACCAGAGTTACACATGATTGTTAGCTGCCATGTGGGTGCTGGGATTTGAACCTGGATCTCTGCAAGAGCAGCGGGTGCTCTTAACTGCTTAGCCAGAATTTCCTTTATTAGACACTTTAGTGTCTTATATATAATCATGTACCTTGTAACTCAGCAGACTGCACCATATTAAAAAATTTTTTAGCTTCATGTTATCAGTCACACTATATGCTATGTTATCTCCTAACTTGTTCTTAGGAGATAGACTTTTCATTATATCCGTATGTTTAGAAATACCCTTATAGAACAACAGCAGCCCAGAAAATCCACCCCTCTGATGAAGGCCTGTCATCTTGGAAAGACATGTGGGAATTTAGTTGCTTATTTTTTGAAAGAATAATGGTTTACTTCTTGATGTGTTTATTTGTTCCTGTTTATTTGCTTTTTTGATCTTAGTATGTAGTCCTGGCTGGATTGGAACTTGCTATGGAGACCAGGCTGGTCTCCAGAGCTTCAGCTGCCTTTCCTTCCTTGTGTGCTGAGATTAAGGTGTGCATCAAAATGCCTAGCACTAATTACATGCTTTGATTAAAGATACTCTTTGTGATTTTAATTTATTCCTTTATTTGACAAGATGGCTTCAAGAGTTCTCTTGAATCATGTTACCAAAAGCAATTTATATGTAAAATGAGTTACTGATTACAGTAGAGATGTCCCAAATGTGGAGTGGCACATTTACATGGATTACAAGTATTATAAACTAAGGCAATTAACAGTTGTTATGAATTTTAAAATGAAAATAAAGTAAGTCGAAGACTTAGATAATAGGAGATATTAGACTTTTCTTTTTGAAAATGGGAAAACTTCAGGAAGTGAAAAAAGAACAACTAGTTGCTAAAGGATCAGTAAGCACAAAAAAAATGAAGTTTTACAGGATATTTTTAGAATACTTAAATTATGTACTTTGCTAATTGTGGATGCATGACATAATGCATTCATAAAAAAGACATAAATCTATACAATACAAGGAGAAAGCCCTAATACAATCTGTAAGTTTTTTAATAAAAAATTGTTGACACAATTCTATCAGCTCTAACAAATGCACCACCCTAATACAACATATGCAATTCCATCCATTATAACCAATGTGTTATCTTAATACAATATGTTTTAATGAGTACAACTGTGAGTGGTATAGTGATGCTGGAAGGACTCTCTACGTGTGGCATAAATTTTGGTAAAATTTGTAGGAATTCCATTAGAAATAAATCTTTTATTATACCATATATTTTTTTTCAAATTCCTGGCAGTTCACCATAGTGTTCACATTGATAAATAAATAACATAACTGTGATAATTCAATTTTATATTTAATAAATGGTAAGTGGTATTATATATAAGAACTGATTTATAGTCAGTAGAGGTTTGATTTGAATAACTATCTTATATACCTATATATTGATATGTTTGGAAGTGACAAAATTATAGGAAGTTCTGCTCTAAGTAGCATTGTCTATGGTCACTGAGGATAGCAGTATCCATCTTGTACCTGTTCTCACTGAGGTCATGTTGAGGGATGGTGGTAGGTACTTCCCTTCATGACTCAGCAGGAAACTGCTTATTGACAGAAGGGATCTGTGAACATTTGAGGATTGTGATTGGTGTGCGTACGAGGTGTGTGGCTTGTGGAACTGGAAGTTGTGCACAAATGTAAAACGCCCATTACTAAACTTTACAAACAGACTGGTTTTCATTATTTTATTCACTTATATATTTTTAATTGTTTGTGTATGACTGTATTGCCTGCAAGTATATAAGTGCACCCATGTTGTGTAATGCCCACAGTGGTCAGAAGATAGTGTTGAATTTCCCTGTAATTGGTGTTATGGACAGTCATTAGCCACCATGTTGATGCTGGGACCCCAACCCAGGTCCTCTGCAAGAGCAGCCAGTGCTCTCAACCACTGAGCCAACTCTCCAGAACTCTGGTTTTCATCCTTTTTAGGTGAGTCCAAAAACTTCTTTCCTGTGCACTGGACTCAGTGTTGCATGAGGTCCTAATAAAAACATATGTTTAGATCTCTATTATTAGCTACATGTGGGTTTTATCATGAATGGAGTAGGCTGAGCAAGTAACACTAAAACTATATGAAATTCTGTACTTCCAACTTCAGGCATTCAGAGACAGAAGCCAGTAAATGGCTGGGAAGTAATTCCAGAAACTGTATCCCCCACCCCGGCCACTCAGATTTTCTAAGGCTCTAAGGTATAAGCTCATTCAGCAGCTTCAAAGCAACTGAACATTTCCAGAGTCTGGCCTTTGGAGAAAGAAGAGAGAAGCGAAACCACTACAGATGGTGAAAGTCTATATACAGCTAAGACTGTAAGTCTCCATCATTAATAAAGTTCCACAGAGATGCTAAAGTTTAAGAACCAATTGCCCCCAACATCTGAAGCTAAGGAGTTGTAATAGTAGATGTGGGGTACTAGGCTACTGGCACTCACAGTACAGAGCAATATGCTTCTGACCTAGAGAGATCTGTCTTTGGCTTTCAATGCTTGAAGCCATATGGTTCTAGTTCTCAGGACAATAATTCAAGCCAGATATCTTCTGACATTCAATGGTTCAAGCTGCCACACAGGAAAACTAGTACTTCACTAATTTGTGACTTGATCTAACTTGAGAAAAAGGACCCATCACATGATAGGATTCTGCCCAGCACTTGGGACAACTGGGGACCTCAGTCCATGAATACTGTCCTGAACTCCATATCTCCAGAGCTTGGCCTGGATGTTGATCTGATGACTTGGATTAGGGGGTTCCAGCCTGGTGCTATGAAAAAAGACTGGGGTTGTAAGGCAAGATTAGATTAAAGACTTCGGGATCATTCTTGGCATCAGGTAAGTCTTGGAAGTTAAGTCAGTGGGTACCAGGCTGGTATTTCTACATGCCCTAATCTATTTGAAAGCTGTATCAGTCAAATTTCCATAACAATGCCCAAACACTTCTTCTTAATGAAGTAGAAGAAATATTTATTTTGGCTCTAAGTTTCAGAAGTTTTAGTTCATGGTTCTTTCATCTTTGAGGCTATGGTGAGGCATGATATCCTGGCAGAAGATGTGTGGTAGAGCAAAGATTTTCACTTCATGACCATAAGGAAGCAAAAAGAGAGAAAGGGGCTGAAACAGTACAACATACCTTTCATAGGCATCCCCGAGGTGCCTATTTGGGACCCACTTCCTAAATCTTCCATTGACCTCCCAATAATGCCAACAACTGATGACCAACCCATAACACAAGAGTGTTCGGGAGACATTACATATCTGAATTATAACAGAATTATAATTTGTAGTTCCAGCCTTTTAAGTAGGGCTCCCATGGCCAGTCTATAACTGGAGCCGTGTCAGCCTAGTAATAAGGTTGGGCTGGGGCCACTAAGTTGGGTAAATGGTCAGAGAAGACCAGAGACATCACCAAAAGAATCCTAAGTATTAAATGTAACCATTTATATAACTATTATGTGAATAACACACACATGATTTGAGACACAGAATTGATTAGACTTAAATTAGTACAGCAGATGTTTTTTTCCTATTTATTTTTTAGGTGCAGTAAAAACAACAAGGAAATTATTAGGACTTATTTATGACATGTATCTCAGTCAAAATATCTGGTTCCTTAAGTAGACCCATACTGCCAAACCATACATTCCTTCTAAATTGCACTAATGACAACACCATAATTACCACCATGTATGGGATTATGAAGGGTAAAATAAGCTCTAGAAATCTAAGATGATTCATGCACCATATATACACACCCAGTGGGTCTGGACTAGGGGTATTCTCTATTAAAGACTTTTAATGATTTTGTTTTGTTTTGTTTTGTTTTTGTGTTTTTGAGACAGGGTCTCCTTGTAGTCACAGTTGTTCTGGAACTCACCATGTAGACCAGGCTGGCCTCGAACTCACAAAGATCTGCCTGCCTCTGCCTTCCAAGTGCTGGGATTAAAGGTGTGAGTCACCATGACCAGCTGACTTTCAATTTTTAAATGCTGCTCCTCACCTCACTGTCATGCTGCACTGCTCACATTGATTCTGTGGACAGAACAAGTTTGGGTTAAAGGCTCCCATATGTGAAGTCTCATTTCCCTTCAAACAGTTTGTCTTGGCACCACACTTTCCTCATGGCATTCTTCATGTCTGTATTTCTTAGCGTGTAGATGAGAGGGTTGAACAAGGGGGCTATCATGGTATAAAACAGAGCAAACACCTTGTCGTCTCTGACAGAATCACCCATGGGCACATAGGTGAAGATGAGGGGCAAGAAAAACAGGAACACAATGGTGATGTGTGAGCCGCATGTAGAAAGGGCTTTGCTGCGGCCCTTGGATGAGCAGGTCCTCAAGGTGCAAAGGATAATGATGTAAGAAATGACCAAGGAGACAAAAGTCAAAATGGAGAGTACTCCTGTGGTGGTAATGGTTATAATAACCAGCAGTCTTGTGTCAGTGCATGCCAGTTTCAGCAAAGCGAATATGTCGCAGAAGTAGTGGTCAATCTGATTGGGGCCACAGAAGGGCAGTCTGATAATGAGTAGTACATGCAGAAGTGAGTGGATAAAAGCTCCCATGACTGAGACCACCACGAGGATATAACACATCTGTCTGTTCATGGTAACCATGTAGTGAAGCGGTCTGCAGATGGCTACATAGCGATCGTAGGCCATGACTACCAAAATAAATATCTCAGTGGCCCCAAAGAAGTGAGCATAAAACATCTGGGCCATGCAACCTTTGTAGGAGATGATGTTCTGCTGAGCCAAGAAGTCTATGATGAGTTTGGGGGCCACTGTGGAAGTGAAGCAGACATCCATGAAAGAAAGGTAGCTGAGAAAAAAGTACATTGGCTGCTCACTAAGGTCGCTGCCCCTGATGGTGAGAAGAATGACCAGGTTTCCTGAGAGAATTGCAAGATAGCAGAGTGAAAACAGCACAGAGCACATGGCCTTAGCATCCTCATTACGAAAAAGCCCCAGTAGGATAAATTCTGTGAGGTTTTCATGATCCATTACTTTTGTGTGTGTGATTATTCTGAGCGCAAAGATAAACTACTTGAAGCACAAGACTTATTTTCCAAGTCATTTGTTTGTCCAACAAATACATGTGCTATTTATGACTCAATTGTAAAATTGGTACTATACACTAGGATACACAGAATACTTACAAGTATAGTAGACATTGTTCATCAGAGCAGACACACAATGAGAGTGTTAGTACAAATATTTATAAATGTTTGGAATTCCAAAATATTGTAGTCAGCAGGAACAGCAAATTGAATTCTTTAAAATTAAATATATGCTTTCAATTCAGTTTCAGGAGGCATTTCACTATGGTAGTTAAAGCATAAATTTTATGTTACAATGTTATCTGTTCTTCAAAAATAGGAAAGGTTTCGAATTCTCTATCCTCACAGTAACTAAAACTGTTGAATTCTGAAAGTTAGTGTGTACTGGTACTATAGTTCGAAGAATTTACTATGTTATATCATGGACCCTCTTGATAGTAATCTCAGAAGTACCTTTGAATCTTTTCATAAACTTAAAAAAAATGAAGAGATGGTAGTGGAGATATGGCTCAGCAGTTAAGAACACTGATTGTTCTTGCAGAAGACCTGGGTTCAAATCCTAGCACCCACATGGCAGCTAACAACTGTCCGTAACTCCAGTCCCAGGGGATCCTACAGCCTCTTCTGACTTCTGAGGGCATTGCACAACATAGGTGCACTGACCTACAATACACGCACACACATAAAATAAAAACAATAAATAAAATTTAATTTAAAAAATGAAGAGAGATAGAGGAGAATTAGCAAAGTTTTGGAGGAAAGGGGAAGGTTCTTATGTGGACTTCCAACATAGCTATCACTTCATAGATTTCTCCTCATTTTCTCCAAGGTCACTTTCTGATTTGTTCCATCAGTTCCTGTGGTTTTCATCCTTTAGGCATGTTCTCCAGCATTCTCTTTGATGATAGCAGCTTCGGGGAGACAAATTCCATCCACGGGTTTCTCTTTATCTGGTTCCCCAATGTGTGTCTTTGAATTCAACCATGTTTTTACTTTACCAGACACTGTATATGTTTGTAAGGCAGATGAATGAAAAAAGAAATATTTCTTTGATCAAAATATTGCCTTGCTTTTTAAATTTCTCTCTGTAACTATATTTACCTGTCTATAATGTATTACATAGCTTTCAATTCATGGTTCATTTTTATCAAAACTTTTTCTTTTTTAAGAGAACAGCTCTATTCGTGGACTTAATCTGTCAGCATGCTATGAAGAATTGGAATGGAAAGGTAATGACATGATTTGTATGGTCTAGGTTCCTAAGGAAAATTTCAGGAAAACCTACATTTGACACAGAAAGTAAGTTTTGATAACATTCTCCATATTTCTGTGGTTTGAATTCCATTCATGGTTCTCATGTTAGCAGTCCTATTGCTATTATTTTCTGCAAATCACTAAAACTGTCACAT